GCTACGGCAGGCCCCACGAGCATGGACCGCCAAGCTTGACGCCACGCTGGGTGACCTTGGGTTTCAGTGGTGCGCAACCGAGCATGTGCTCTACACGCAGCGACGGGGGGAGGAGGAGCTCGTCGTCGGTGTGTATGTGGATGACTTGATTGTCACTGGCATGCGCACGGAGGACATCAACAGCTTCAAGCGCGAGATGGCGGCTCATTTTCGAATGAGCGATCTCGGCGCACTCTCCTACTACCTCGGCATCGATGTGAGATAGGGGAAGGAGGAACTCACGCTCGGTCAGAGCGCGTATGCCTCCAAGCTGTTGGAGCGGAGTGGCATGGCTGAGTGCAAGCCATGCGTGACTCTGATGGAGGAGCGGCTGAAGCTGATGAAGGCCAGCACCGCGGTGAAGGTGGATGCAACACTCTACCGGAGCATCATCGGCGTTCTACGCTACCTAGTCCACACAAGGCCGGACATTGCATTCGCCGTGGGCTACGTTAGTCGCTTCATAGAGGATCCCAGAGAGGATCACTGGGCTATGGTGAAGCGGCTACTGCGCTATGTCAAGGGGATGGTGGATCAAGGGATCATCTTTCCCAAGACTGGGGGTGTAGGCTACCGCTCATTGTGTTCAGCGATGTAGACATGGCAGGGGACATCGATGGACGACAGAGCACCTCTGGTGTGCTCGTCTTCCTCAGGTCGACCCCAATTTCATGGTTGTTGTTGAAACAGAAGGTGGTGGCGTTGTCTATGTGTGAGGCAGAGTACGTAGCGGCGGCCACAACAGCGTGCCAAGTTGTGTGGCTGCAGCCGGCTGCTGGGCGAGCTGACCGGCGTGGAAGCTCACCCACCAGCACTGATGGTGGACAACATGCCCACCATCGCCCTCGCGAAGAATCCGGTTCTACACGACCGGAGTAAATACATCGACGTGAAGTTCCACTTCCTCAGGGACTGTGTCGATGGAGGGCAGATCGTCATCGAGTTCGTCGAAACTGATCAGCAACTCGCGGACGTCCCCACCAAGCCGCTCGGACGTCTTCGACTCATGGAGTTGAAGGAGATGATCGACATGGAGGGGGTACAAGGGATAGCAGTAGGTTTAGGGGAAGAATTGTTAGAATAAACTACTGCTTTTCTTGTGTGAACACAAGATGAGGAAGGCGGCGCCTGAAAAGGCCCCTATTTGTGACATCAGAGTCTTGCAGTGCACCGCACGGCTCACCTGTAGCATTGTAGCCACATGCAGAGGCCGGCGCAGAGTCAACCCTTTATGTTATCTAGTCACTGTTGTAGCAGGGCAGCTGTACTGGGACTAGATGGATAGAGTTGTATAAATAGACTACCCTGGCAATTCAGTAAAGAGAGTTCAGATTTGCCATCTCTCATACAGGGCTTCGGCCAACGCTGGTGTCTTGTACTGCGTGTCTATGCTCTGTTCTCCCTCTTCTTCAACCTCTAGCCATAGTGTGTGGGGACGGACAACGCTTGTTCGTGGTCGGCTTAGCTAGTGGGTACTCGACAACATTAGTGGGTGCTCGGCAAGACTGGTGAGTGGTTCACTCACCTAAGCCAGTGATCCTATGGGCTAACAGACCTATTGTAGCTCCAAGAGCTGATCATAGGCTTCAACAGAGAGAGGGAGGTTGAAGATGGCAATAAAGGTGGGATTTAGCTTAGAAGAGGGAAGTGTCAAGTTTGGCTTTTTGGAGGAGTAGAGTTCTGGAAAGGCTTGCTTGGTGATCTGGCCAAGCCAGAGATCGCTTGAAAATAAGCAAGAGGTGCTACTTTGAACAGAAACTACAGCCATACCTTTGAACTTGTCCAATAATTTGAGGACATCCCTTCCACCAGAAGGAACCTTTCTTGACCTGGTTTGGCAACTTCCCATTGTTGTACTGCTTTTCCCACACAAGATTAACCCAAGGGATATCAAGCCTATGAAAAAACTTATGCTGGTTTTTGATCAGGAAGGCTTCATTTTGAGTCTTTAGGTTCAGACGAATCCCCAATCCCCCATCATCCTTGGGTGCCGTTACAAGAGTCTAGGCAGCTTTGGCATTAACTCTGTTGCTTTCATCAGAGCACCTCCACAAACAATGTTTTCGGTATTTGTCAATCTGCTCTCAGATGGAAACATGAACAGAGAAAGTGCACATATAGAAGGTTGGGAGTGCAATAAAGATAGAGTTTCCAACTGAAGTCTTCCAGCCTCGGAGAGGTATAGAGAAGTGCACATTGGCCTTCTCTCAAATTTATTGACAATGGGCATGAAATCCACCAGTTTTGACTTTGTGAGGCCTAAGGGAAGCCCCAAGTATGTGAATGGCAAGCTTCTAGTTGAGGAGGCAAAGGTTGAAGCAAGGTGGTTCAACTTTTCCTTGGAAACATAGATTGGAACGATCATGGATTTCTGGAAATTCACCTTCAGACCTATCGAGGTAGAGAAAGAGTGAAGGAGAGCGTTTAGAACAATAAGCTGGTTTCCACATCCCTCCATGATGATTAGCGTGGCATCAGCATACTGAAGTATTGGGAAATCATTAGAACACTGCAGAGGAATTGGCAGATTGAGGAGACCCAGGTCTTTTGCTCTATTGATAATGGACTGCAGCAGATCAGCAGCAAGGACAAAGAGAAGAGGGGAGAGGGGGTCCCCTTGCCTAACCCCACTCCTACACTTCTACCATTGAAGTGTTTCCATCCAATGAACTCATACCGAGATTGCTTCAACTTACACACAAGATGGCACATACCTCTTATTTTTCAGGAATTCATGGACAAGATCTGTGTTAATGTCCTTGTACTCCTTTAGAACTTTTATAATATCAGGATCATGAGACACTGATACAAAAGCCTGGTAATTGAAATGTGGATTAAGCTTGTCATAAATAGCTTTAGCAAGCCTTGTCTTGCCTGGTCCTCCAAAGTCAACAATAGAGACCATCCTTTGTTCAGCGAATGACATGCCACCATCTTCCTTTCTCAACTTTGAGATCAGCTCTTCCCTTGGCTCATCAATGCCGACAAGGCTAGCCAGTTTAGTATATAGAGCTGTTATGCAAGGCTCAACTGACGTTCTGGTAGGAGTAATGGCATGAAACTTCTTGTACCTATGGAGCTTGCTATAAGGTACCTCTCTGCATCGACATCAAGAGTTTCTAGATTGATGCCTTCCTAGTTATCCCCAGTGCCAACACCCCCATTGTTGGCGAACCTCGGTATTGTCCTCTAGAACTCCGCGTCAATGGAGATGCACCGTCCAATGAGGTGACAACACCGTGACATGCCACTGTCTACACTAGGATAGCATCACAAATGGTGCGTTCTATTCCTGCCACAGCACTCATCATCAGCTCTATGGTGCCACTTTCACAACAGTACAACGCAATGATGATAGGCCAGCGCACAACAGGGGAATCCTTGAACGCGGCACAATCGGCGACGACGGTAGCGATGAAGCAGATACCAACGGTGGAGAGTTTTGAAAGTTAGAGAGAAACGGGGCCACCACTAAGGGCTAAATCCACTTTCAGAGCATTGGCTCTATTGATTGGAGAAGAGTTATGGAAGTATTGGTGGTGGCGGTAGGGAATCGGCGGTGGTGGTAGGCAGTGGCGCTCCCATGAGCCTTCCCTCACAAAAGAGCCTGGCCCTAGAGTTGGAGCTTTTTTCGGTGGGGAGAAGAATAAACAACTTCTGGTCGAGCTGCTGGTCACCAAGTACACTAATCCTCTGAAGGAATCAAGAACCCCCAATAAAAACCAAAAACTGACCGATCAAAACATCCACACAACACCTGGAGGGGGCCGTAGCTGAAGCCGAGGGGAACACCATCGGATCTCACGAAACCGCCGTGATAAGTGGGCCCAGGGAGGGGGAGTAATGCTATGTTCTTGATGCCACGTAATATATTTTGTATGGTGCCATGGTCGCCACATGCATGTGCACACGTGTCGACACCAACATGCCATCGCTGCCAATGCTAACCGGTTATTTGGTTTAAGAATTCAATGACTTGATCTACCACCGCTTGCTTCCTTAGTGGCTAATAATTCGTATTAGCAAGAGGATGGAGTCAATCTACCAAATTTCAATAATTAACTAATGATGAGCAATCCCATCTAAAATGATATGGTTTCTCAAACTAAACACCCTCTAACCGATCTATGTTATATTATGTACCACCATGGTGGTGAAGCACTCCCCGCCCAATGATGCCTTCCTTGACTGGCCTGTGGATAAGGATCGGGAGCTCCCAGTTTGCACGCTCATGCGGGTGCCCTGGCCTCCGATTCCCAACGGTGGTGTGCCATTATGATCTGACATGATCGACATAGGCCCTGTTTTTGGAACCGATTTTAATCGGATTCCTGGGCACCCTACCGTCAGAATCAAGAATGTCCAACCAAAAGCCTCGCGGTGGTTGTGATTTTCGCCACCGTCCGTGAGGGGAAAATTAGAAAATGAGCTACACTGCCGATTACTCGTATTGCGGCCTCGGAGCCACGGATGGGATGGATACCCCGCACCGTGCGGTGGCAGGTCGCGGTTGCAAACAGGGCCATATCCGAACCCTTGATCGAATGGGCTTCTTTATACCTATTAATTGTTGGCCGAACAACCCTGAATGCTATAAAAAACCTATTGTTTGATGAGAAATAGTACAAATGAAATAGCAAGAACGAACACGGTGATTTTGGTGCTGCCAAACGTAACAGCTAGCCTTTTCCGTTTTTCCCCTTCTTTTATTCGACAATCGACAATTACCAGCTCGTGAATCCGGCCATTTCACCACAAGAGCGAGGTGACCGGACGCACGATACACACCACACGATGCAACGCAGGTTCATGCATAATAAGACTCGACGCAGCTCCAACGGAAGAGGCTGGCCAGTTGCTAATTTACAAGACGCCACAAACTTACAACAGAACAACAGATGCAAATAACTAGATTACCCTAACAGTAACAGTGAATGCTTTTGTAACCTGCTGCAGGTGCCCTAGACCTTGTTGATCTCTCCCCCCTTAAACTCAAACTCCTTGCTATTGCTGACGACCACGAATAAAGGCTCCTTCTTCATGGTGGCAAGCCTGAAAATCTCTTCGAGGTTGACATCATCGGCGCGCACTCCGGACGGCAGTGCCCATTCGAAGTGGTACAGCAGGCTGGCCAGTGACAACTGCAGGGTAGCCAATGCAAACATGTACCCGGGACAACCTCTCCGACCACCGCCAAAAGGAAGAAGCTTGAAGTCCGGATCCATAATGAGATCTGTCGTCTCGCCACCACCGTTCTTGAACCGTTCCGGTGAGAATTCAAGTGCCTGGTCCCAGATCTCTGGGTCTCGGCCCATGGCGAAGGTGTTGATGAACACACGTGACTTTGCCGGGATATCGTAGCCGCCTAGAGTACATGCAGCCTCGGACTCTCGTGTAACAAGCAACGGAATGACAGGGTGAAGCCGGAAGGTCTCCTTGATGATGGCGCGGAGGTAGTGGAGGTCGCGGAGATCCGACTCCTCCACGCAGCCCTTGTCACCCACCACATGCCGTAGCTCGTCCTGCGCCTTCTTGAGGATGCACGGGTGCCAGAGGAGCTGGGTCATCACCCACTCCAGCGCTGCGAACGACGTGTCTGAACCAGCTACAAATATGTCCTGCGAACCATGGAGATGAAATATCATAATTTATTATTTAAGGTTAATTTTGTGGAGTTCAGTGATCTGTCAATCCTTAACATATCTGAGGCTAAGAGTACGTATATTTCCCGCCATGTATCCCATCGATCTCATATATTCTTTAAGGTTAAGAAATGTAACTTTAGGTTAGTTCTAGTTTCATCTCCGTGATTTTTGGCATGCATCTGAACTCATATATACTAGTCCATCAACCCGTGCTCTCGCACAGGTTAGAATCTTATTAAATGTAAACATTAGTTATTACTATTTAGTGATTCTAACTAATTAAAAATAGTTGCATTAAATTGCATGTTTTTTACTTTGATCATTTTCTAACACAGTAGACATGCACGATAGTTGTGATAACCATATTAATTACTGATCTATATTTTCCTCATCCATATCAAAGTTTTTTCCTTTTCATAGCACCTCTATGTATTTTGAACATGCATTTTTAGTTCAAACATTAGCATAAAGTATGGTTGTTCCTAGTACCGACAACATTGACAACATTGATAATTCATATACATATTTAAGTGGTTGCGTATATATCATAATAGTAGGTAGATAATTAGATATAAATTTAGGTTCAGTTTAGATAGGTGGATAATTTAAATATAGATTCATGAGTTAAACTTTAAATTGACTTACACAATAGCAGAGATGGGTAATAATATAATAACAATCCCAAAGTAGACAATGTTCTGTTTACGTCACTATGTTCAGCAGGAGAACTGCGCGTCATTTGGTTAAGGTAGAAAATGTTATCACTATTCATTCAATGTGTATCCATTGTTTGAATATAGTGTTCGTCACTGTTGAACCACCATGCAACATTGTTTATCCATTTTTATGTTACTGCTGCCACGCTTTTCACATTTTCTGTACTGTTTACCTCCCCCGGCGCAGCATACCGCACGTTCCTGGGCTAGTATATCCATTGGCCATATGATTCTACTTTTTGTTGGAAGTTCTAAAATTTATCTTCTTTTAATGTATCTTGTGAGGATTAACGTGAAGGCTCTGCTAGCATTTCTAGTTCTAGTTATAATTTCTAGGATTCATCTTTTTTTTCTAACACAATGTGTATTTAGTTGAAACCTAATCTTAAGCTATATAGAATATTATTGCCTCCCTTTTCTACGACATTAGAATCTATATTGTATCTTTTTTACTTTAATCTATCTGTTGCAATTTTTTATCCATGTATTAAGTTGTAACACTAATGTTTATTATATCTTTTACTCAAATTTTAATTTTCTATGTTATCAAAAAAATTATAGGTCTCCTCTGAGCTTTACAGTACCATAAATAGTCATTTCAGTTTACATTGCGACACTCAAAATGTAGAACTTTATTATACCAAAGAATTACAAGTGTAACAGTATTATTTTATAAAATATAGAGTGCTTAAATTTTAAAATTATTTATAAAATTTTACAGTCAAAATGTGCAAACTTATTCAAAATAATGGCTTATAAAATTTATTTTCATGGATTATTAATATAACTTAAAGTAAATTATTTGCCTCATTGTTACGTGCAGTTGATAAGGGAACATGTTTAATATAACTTAAACATGTTTATCTATTCAAATACATATTTATTATTGATAGGTAGATTTAAGTGATATTTTAAGTTATTTTGTATAACGTGTCGAGGTGGATAACTTACTTTTTTTTTTTAAAAAAGGTGGATAACTTACTTTTATATGTTCTTACATATGACCACATACATTGGTAATTTGAATGTACGCTTAGGGGTTATATTGTTATTATCTTGCATAATGGTAGAGGTGGGTAATTTATAAAAAAATATAAGTTGATTATATATTTTAAATTATCTTTCATAATGGTCGAGGTCGATATTTTAGTTACAAATTTAGAGGGTTATTTTGAATTATGGTTTATAATAGCAAACCTAGTTAATCTAGAGAAAGTTTTGGGGGAGTATTTTGAACTATCTTCATAATGACAAACATTTGTAATTTAGATGTAAATTTAGGAGTTATTTTGTATTACTGTATCTTTCAACCGATGAATGGTGAAAACACAGAACGGATGTCGAACAAATGGATACCTTTGTTCCAAGTCTTTCGTTTAATAGCCAGGTGTTTTTGTTTAACGTGAGAAATTATAGCATTTGTCTTTTTTTTTAGCACATTTGTGATAATTAACGTGAAAGCTGGCCTCTATTTAGTTATAATAAGTATGGATGGATGATTTCCTTGTTTCGTGTGGGTGAGGAAAATTGTCTTGATTATCTAGACCGTCAAACTTCTTATACCGGCAGTCTGGCACATGTATTTTTTTTCGATTTTAAATGTTGGGTTGGATTGATTATAAATGATGTTATATTAATAGATTAAGCTTCTATTGGATTTTTTTAATAAGATTAATAACCAATAGTGAACGTGATGGACACAGCGGATCTGATTTTATTAATTAATACATTAACCTACCAACATGAATCGTAATCTCTATAATTATGTGGATATTTTATTAACCAACTGCCCGTGCGGCCGGAGTTTGCTTTACGGGGCATTTAGATTTTACGATATTTATTTATTTGTCTATAATGACGGTGGTAACTAACTACTTAAAAAACACAAATAGATCTAATGGTTGCATATATTTAGAGTCTTACATCTAATGGCCAGATTTTTCCGATTAATGTGAGAATTTCTAGCATTTATTTTTTTTCTAGCACGTACGGTGAGAATTAACGTGAAGGCTCCGTTAGGGCCTCTAATTAGTAGATCTAATGGTTGCAGATATTTAGAGTCTTACAACTAATGGCCACATTTTTTTGATTAATATGAGAGTTTCTAGCATTTATCTTTTTTTTTCTAGCACGTCTGGTGAGAATTAACGTGAGGCTCCGTCGGGCCTCTAATTAGTAATAGTAAGTTATGTTTATTTATGTGTATATACATGTTTCTCAAAAAAAATATGTATATGTGTACACACAATTATTTACTTAAACATATTTATTTAAATTTTTGGAAAATATATTTTTTGGTGTTGGCATATCAAAGATTCAAATAAAATGGCACAGCACATATAGTAATATTATATATGTTAAGATTCATTATGCTGTGAAATTACCGATACTCAAGTTGACAACTACGTACTATATCTCAAGCACAACTCAAGATTTATAGAAAAATTTTAAAAGGCTCGAATTTTCAAGTTAGGGTTTTGGTCCATATTACAAAATACGTATAGATAGATTATAGAATATCTAAATTTGCATTATATTAGCACACACAATGACGAGAGAGTAATAAATAAAGATGATCAATTATCATTAGTTATACGTGCATAATATTTTTTTTTTTTGCAAATTGCAATACAAATGCATACGCTCACATACATGCATATACAATCACCTATAACGCAAGCACACACACCCTACCGCTTTGATCATTTCCGAAAGACTAAGCCAACAGATGTTGAGAATCATGGGTCACCACTGACGCCTTGCTTTTGACAATCATGTCACATAAACTAAAATAATAACACCGTTAAAATCCTGCGATAAATCCACCAGAATTCATGGACCCATGGAATTAACTAGCTTAGCTACGCTCAGTTTGCTTATAGGTAATTAATTAATTCATCCTTGACACTTTTAATACTTATATAGCACATAAGATTCTAGGTTTTTGGAGCAAGGTCGATGTGCTAGTTTATCCATAGTCGAGAGTACATGGTCAGCAACAGTAGAGATAGAGAAGTAAACTAATCTTTTGCTACCACAACAATCTGATATCCGCATCCATGGAAATAATCTAACATGTCCCTTCTTAAACTGCGCCAGTTTTTCTTTGCACTCTAATGGAGAGGCCAGCGCAATAGTTGTCCTGATTTTTTTTAAAAAAAATGCTTTTATCAAAAAAAAAAATCAGTTGTGTAATCCTTCATTATTTAAGATGCCTTTGTTAGAGATCCACTAGTAGATTTTCGGGCTCTACTCCTTGATTCTCTAGTGGAGTGATCCTACTTAATTATAGTGGGGAAGCAGGATGGTGAGCAGGTGAGACTTGATTCTAAAGTGATTCTTGTAGGTTTTGAACAAGGAGCAGTGGAGAGCTGATTTTTTTAGCTCCCACCTTTCAGTGTAAATGAAAAAGTGATTCTTACATGTTTTCCATATGAACCTGTGCAGGATTTAGCTGTTAGGCTGGGGAGGGAAAATTAACGACGGCTGTGCCGTATTACCTGGAGCGCTCGAGAGTTATCCTTTCCGAAATAAAATTTGCATCAGTCAAGATAAAGTAGCAGTTAATACGAGTGGTCTACCGTGGTTCTACAAGATATACCATTGGATGGCCTGTGAGACGGTACGGTCCTGTTAGGTTTTCCATGGGCCAGTAACAACCACAAAACCATGTTTTTTTCTCTCTCTTTCTCTCTATATATAGATACGACCTTGTAGAGCTCTCCGACACTCAAACTGTCTACTCCCTTCATTGGAGTGCGGTAGCTAGTAGCTAGTAGCGGCTATGGAGGCCCAATCTGATCATTGATCAGTGATTCTCTCTCAGGGTAGAAAGTCCATAGCCGCTGCCATCATGGCTTTGGCACCGAGTTTCCCACCCAGCGTCCCTCCCTCAGATGATTGCAATAGTAGGGATTATACCCAAACTGTAGAAGCTTTCGTCCTCCTGGCCGTTCTCGCCTTGTTCCTCTTGCACATACTGGGCTCCTTACGGCGGCAGTCTGGCCACGGTCTCCTCCACGCAATCGTGATGGGCGTTAACACCCTGTCGTACCCGCTGGTGAGCTACACCATTGGGCGGATGGAATCTTCCGATTGGTACTACGACGACTTCGCCGTGTGGGCTGTGTTCCTGCTTCTGCTCCTCGGCAGCACCGACAACCTCACGGCTTGCCGCCTCAGCGACATCGACAACTGGAAAAGCATCTTCGTAAAACACCTATTTAAGGGGTTCTTGCTGTTATATGTCGTCGTGACATATGGCCGCAAAATGAAGTACCTGCTGCCGCCACTCTCGGCCATCGTGTTGGTCGGCGTCCTCAAGTGGTACGTGAGAATCACTTCCATTAGGATGGTGAGCAAGTCATGCCTCTGGAAGAACGTGAAGGTGATTGCCGACTACATGGAGCATGCGGACAACCTGCTGGTGGCCTGCAATCCTGTGACCATGGATGGCTACCGTTACATGGTCGCCGGCGAGAAATACTGGATGAAGCGCCCTGCTGGGCACGCACCATTGTACCGTGCCGACAGCTCCAAAGTGATCACCGTGGAGAAGGTCTGGCAGTGCACGGGGAACCTGCTGCTCCGTGAGCGGGGCAACAAGCTGAAGGACGTGTGCCTCTCTATGGCACTGTCCAAGATGCTCAACCGAAGGTTTGCTGGCTTCAATCTCTCAGAGGCAGAGCTCGAGAAAACCCATGACTTTGTCTTCCGTGGCCTGCTCGTCGCCGGGGACAATCCATATCAGCGGGCCTTCATGGTCATCGAGGAAGAGCTTGTCTTTATCCACGACATTTATTACACAAGGTACTCTTACCTCTACCAAAAGGGACGATACTTGTGTCTCTGTTTCCCTGTCGTCATGATTGGCCTATGCTTGTGGGTCGTGCTCATCGACCTGCATGTCGATCACGAATGCGATCGCAACCCCAATGACGAATGGAATGCTAATTGCTACCAACTGGGATACAGAACCATATTCATAATGGTTGCCTTAGCATTCCTGGAGGCTTACCAGCTGTACCTAAACATAGCCTCAGGTTGGTTCAAGGTGGCGCTCATACGGAGCTATGTCAGCACACCTTTTCTGCAAAGAAACGGTTGCTCCCTTGACATGATCATAGGCCTTGTCTTGAGGTTGAAGGCATTTCCCCATGGAAGAACAAACTTGGTCAGTATTGTATCCTCCGGGATCTTGGCCACAAAAGTAATGCTAGGAATTGTCTCCACTATGCTACACTGTGCTTGGTGGACAAGAAGAAAGCCAAGAAAGGGCGCAACAATTCAGTCAAGCTATCCGAGAATTTGAAGAAAGCCATCGTTGATTCCCTACTAGGAAGCAACGGACGCCTGACGAATGGGATAACATCCCTGAGAAATAATGGCGTCGATGCTCACCTCTCATGGGCATGTTATGCTACTGCTACTGCTGACGGATCGGTGACTCGCACCATACTTGTTTGGCACATTGCTACAACCTTGTGCGAGTACCAATTGGATCCAAATCTCAATAAAGAAGACAACGTCATAACAGCCTGCACTTTATCGCAGTACTGCATGCATCTCCTCACTTTTGCACCTCACCTCTTGCCTGACCACATCTCTATATCGGAATCTCTACTCGATCAGTCAATCAACGAAGCCCGTCAGAGAATCACAGAGGCAGGGGCCAAGACCATAGAGGACAGGTGTGATGTACTAATGAAAATTAGCACCCATGATGACAATCTCGTTGCCGAAGGATTGCTCGTTGCACGGGGCGCTTGGCTTGCAAGATATCTGATTGAACACATACAAGAACCTACATTGAGGTGGAAGGTCCTCTCGGATTTCTGGGCGGAGATGATGCTGTATGTCTCACCGTCAGATAATGCCCGGGCACACCTGGAAGCTCTTGCTATGGGAGGGGAGTTCATCACGCACCTGTGGGCGCTGCTCACCCACGCAGGTGTGCTGAAGCGAGGCTCTACAGAGCCAAGGGATGTTGTCTAACCTCTCCAATGCCAGTGCAGACATAACAATGCACATATCTACCTAGTGCTTGTATTTTATGCCAGTCGCTAAGCTGAACGACACTCAACCCTGAAGCGCTGACACCTTCTATTATATATGTAACATGGTAGTTGAGTGCCTGTCGGTGTGCAGGACGTTGTCTCCACCCTCTCCGTCTTCGGCCGTAATGGTGGCTACCATCTTTGTTTTCTCTTCTTGCTGTGTTCTTCCCACCCTGCTATGCACCATCACAACTGTTGTAACTTGTTATCCATGAATCAATAGCGCTTCTCCTTTGATGTCTTATCTTGGAACGTTCGTGGTCTTAGGCACTCTGACAAATGTGACGCCGTGCGCAACACCATCTCTGTCTCCGCCCTCACATCATCTGCATCCGGGAGTCCAAACTCAACACCCTAGACAATACGAAATGCAAAACTTTCCTGACCCCTACCCTAGCAACTTTTTCTTCTCACAAGTTGATGGCACCATGGGTGTCCTAATCATGTCCTCAAGCCGAGCAATTTTAAGTGCTGGTACCCCCTCCTGGGGAACTTACACGCTATCCATCCCCTTCTCCCCAACCTCCTCTAATTACACCTAGCAACATCTATGCCCCATCGGACCAACCTTTTCATCTCTGAGCTTCTCAGCCTCAAGCCCCCTCGTCCAACAGCCTGGATTGTGGCGGACGACTTCAACCTAACGTGCTCACCCTTGGACAGAAACACCCCTGGCTTCCACTGGGCCCTTACGTCGAGGATCAACGCCCTCATTAACATCCTCGCTCTAATCGAGCTGAAATGGCTAGAATGTCTATACACCTGGAGCAACAAATGTTCATCCCCCACTCTCGCTTGGCTCGACCGTGCTTCCATAAACAACACTTTCTGCGACGTGTTCCCCAACTCCACCCTCACTCGCGCCTGGGTTCGACATTTGACCATATTCCCCTCGTCGTCACTGTTCCTACCTTCCTTCCAAACCTCTTTCTCCTTGAGAACTATTGGTTAAAGAGTTCCAGCTTCCTTCCCTCTATTGCTCCCGCCTGGTCAAATACTTGGGTGACAGTGGATGTTGCTGGTGGCTTGGAGGCTTGGATCAAGGCCCTAAGGCGCAAGGTGAAGGTCTGGTCCCGCAAACACTACTCTGCCCCCACACCTATCATTATAGCTCTTTTATGATCTTGCGCCTCGATGTTTTTGAGGAATGCAGGCTCCATTCAACAGGTAAACACCATCTTCGCCAGCTATGCTGTGTGCGCCTCACGCTGTTTATCAACCAGCATGTGGTGTACTAGAAATAACACGACAGCTTTGGAGCGTTGCATGAAGGCGATACAAACACATGCTTCTTCAAGGACAAGAGCATCTCCCAGGGCACGATTGAACAAAATTTGGCACCTCATGGTCAATAGCATGATGCCGGTGGCCCATGACAATGAGTTGACCATGCCCACCGCTTACTACTCAAGCATCCTGAGTTGTGAGATGGCAATGACATGATCATTCAGCTGTGCTATCTCTACGCGACCAGCGAGCACACCGAGGAGACACCACTGACTATGCTATTCACAGAGAGAGAATCCTACCACGCGGTGCACTTCATGAACGTGAACATCGCCCCTGGCCCAGATGGGGTGAGGCCCAGCTTCTACATCGTGGCCTAGGAGGTGGCCGAGAGGTTGTCATGCTCCTCATGCATGCCCTACATGTGCGGAGATACTAGCATAGTTTTTCAATCCCAAACCACTCAACAAGATGCCATTACCCATGGTTGGTGTTGGTATTTCTTACGTTATGAATAAATCTGCAAGCGTATGGATACCGTTGTAGCTTTCACCCGAGAGTATTCAACGGTATCGAATCCACAGAGAACGTGTGTACTCTTCTAGCAGGTTTATCCAAGGACAACATAAGGATAAGGTTGGCAACGGTAGAGAGGGATTCCTATGGCTTTAGGATCTATGGGAAAGATAAACTCTTCCTTTACTTGCTTGCTTTGGGCACCGGATCGCACCTGGTCTGCCAAGTGATGCCGGACAATAGCTCGATGTTGAGCCCGAACGTGGGGGATTACAAGGGGCGGACAAGGCTGTCACCTCCTGTTGTCTACCCCTCAACCATGGGGAACGAGGCAAACGAAGGTAAGCTCTAGCCTAGACACCATGTCTACACTATCAATCACTACTTTAGTGTCGTACAGGATTATCCGACTTTATCAGGAGTCCTCTACTAGAGCATCCGTTACAAGAACGGATGACGAACTCGCAAGCAAATAAGAATAAAGCTTAAATAACCAAGAGACTCACCACCATATGACTCACAAACACTTCACAAAGTAGGCATCTATTGAGGTACAAGCGTGGGGAGGCTACCGACAAATCCGGCACTTCCCCAAACTCTCCCTCACATCTCTCCCTATCACTAAGCTCTAGCTAGCTAGGGCCTATGCCTTGGAGTGGTGCTCTTGTTCTCCCCTTCTGGTCTTGTGTGCATGTTGTATGGAATTAGGAGGGGATGGCATCCTTTTATAGTTGAGGAGGAGCCAAGGATCCCATGGAATATTCCCTTTATTCCCTCCATTAGTAAAGGAGGCGACATCTAGAGCATTCAATTCAGGCCAATCCTCAGCAACCGGCGTTGGCATGGCGGTAAGTGGCACCTCGCAAAGGTTGGGCCTAGTTGGGCTTAATAGGGGGTCGGCCGATCCCCTACTCGCCTTCTTAGGCTCATCTTTGGCTCATGAACTTCTTGTGGGCTCCTCATGGGGACCATGGGTGGAATGGGCGAAGTTGAGATGATTCTGCTTTAGTTATGGACCCATGGTTCCATGTGGTTTAGGCCCAGATTTGTCTGGTAAGTGGGCCTCTTTTCTTTTCCAAGCATTTCTTTAGTATTGATTGTGTTTTCTTAGCCCTTTATGTGCATTTGCACTTATGTCCTCCTGCAAATGAGCAATCACCAAAACTTGTGGAATTTGTTAGTTATAAGACCTAATGCTAAGTTTGGTGTTTATATAAATAGGTTTTAGGCAAGATTTGGCAATTGGTTTTAGGAGTTAAGGACAGCCAACAAGCTCTCCCACACTTAGCTCTTTGCTCGTCCTCGAGTAAAGGTTTAAGGACTAAGGTGGAACATCTCCTCAAATGGTATGATGCCTGCATATAAGTTATTCCAAGCCTCACCTATACATGTGAACATTGAAATGCCTACCACACCATCTTGGGTGGTTGAGGAATGGAACGGATCAAAATCCAGTTATGATTAGTTCTCCTGCTCAGCAAACATGGGTTTTTGGAAGATTTTCAAATTAAAATATAGCCTTCCTCCTCAAATGATTATCTTAGATCGTTCAATGTGTATGGTTCCTCAAGGCATTGTTTTGCCTCTTTTCATCATACTTCTAATCAGACTTGCACTGCATATGTTGCTAAGTCAAAAATCGGATCGACGAGAAGCAAGTCATACAATCTGATCAAGATGTCCAAGTGTGTGGATATGTGGATTAAGATAACTCCTATTTTATTCATGATCTCTTCTGTTTAGTGAACTTCAGAGGGCATGGCAATCTCTGCATGGGCCTTCATGTGCCCAAATATATTTTTTTTCTTTTTCTTCCTTGGACCTTCATGTGTCCAACTATTTTTCTTTCTTAGACCTTCATGTGTCTATTTTTTTTCTTTCTTTGTCATGCCTCTTCTTCATAGATAATTGGAGATAGAGATCAAAATTTTCATGGAGTTTTTATTTGGTGGATGCATGGATGGCATGTTTTTTTCCACAACTTCTAGTGTAGAAGTTGGCATACAAGGGTGGAGTGTATGTGATCTTGATCATGAAAGCATGAAGAGATTCTCACAAGGGTCACAATAGTTTGACAAAGCTCAATGCAAAGGCAAGTATCATATGTGTAAGGTTTTCAATTAGATTAACATATGACCTTGGTAGGAATTTCAACATCATTAAGGAGACAACCTATTGATTTTGAATTTTTTATAAGATAAAATTCCCAAGTACTTTGCAAAAAGAAGCAAGGTTCCTTTCATCATACCATACCTCATTCATCAACTACTTAGATGTATTTGTTAACGCAAACAGATAAATCCGTAGGCGCACGGATACCATTGTAGCTTTCACCCAGGAGTATTCCAGGGTATCGTATTTATCCTCAGGGAAGCAATGGTTAAAGAACTTGATAGTTGACGATCATGTATCCACTAACTATTATACCGTCTATACTAATATGGCGGTAAGTGATAAAGATAGGAGTTTTGTATAAATGACACATAGGAGAACTCCAAAGTAAGATAAAAGAATAGATAGGCTAAGTTGGGAGGACAACGGGTGAGTTCAAGGTTCCTATACACTTCTCTATTACTATGGTTCTATTCTAGTTCATACCAAAGAGGATAACTAAGCAAAGGTCAGACATAGTGATCACACCAAGAACACTTTGGAGCAGCAGTTCCTTTCCGATCCTCGAAAAGACTGAGAAGGAGTGATCGGGGTCAAGCCACTACACCACAACACCATATCACCGTCAGACATCTGATGCTAAAACTTTTTTTTATCGATGGATGATCTGACGCTAAAGATAACTTACTGACAATCTGACGCTAATTCTCCATTTAGAGATTAACTGTTTGTCGCTATAGGTAATCATCTTTAACATCGAACTATCTGTCGTTGAAAACAGGTATAGCATCAATCCATTTGTCGCTAAAAAAAGGCCCCACCTTGTTCATGTGCCCACTTACATTGAGCTCACGTGTCCACTTACATTCTGCCCTCACGCGCAAATTTTGGTCCGCCCATGAGTACAGAAACCTACACCCTTCTCTTCCAAATCCCAAATAAGAGCCGTTTTCGATTCTTCTTCCAGGCACAAAAAAAAAAAATAAAAATAGAAAGGAAGCCTCATTCCTTTCCCACTCCTCCCGCTCCTCCCTACCGCGCCACCGCCGCTCGTGCCCCCGACCACGCCTCCCCCTTCTTCTCCCTCTCTCCCAACATGACGGTGCACTGGCTGGGCCCCAGCGTGGTCACCTCGACGCCCTGCGCGTGGCCGGAGCGGCGGTGCCCCCGGTGTGTGGCGCGGCTACCTGGACGGCCCCCCGGCGGTGGCTACCTCCCGACACGGCGCAGCAGCAGGGGCACAGGAGAGCCTTGCCGCTGGTTGTGGCCGCCGCCTCCCCCGCCGCGGCCGGCTCTCGGAGGTCCTCGCTCCTAGCTGTGTGCCTGTGCTGGAGCAAACCCTAGCTGGCGCCATCTTAGCGGCGTGACGAAAACCAGGTGATAGCCTCTCTTCCTTCTTCCTCCTCCCCTTCCCTCGTCGGCGCCGGCGATGGGCGTTCATCTGCTCTTGCCACGCCCCTAGGGTAGATCTGTGCTGCTCATGGAGCATGATCTAGCCTTGCCTGCTCCGCCGCTCCATGTCAGGTTGCCCTGCAGTAGACCTCCCCTATTGGCCTCCACAGCAACTGCGATGGTGGCGACTCTGAAGATTGGGAGGAGAAGTTCTTCCCGACGTCACCAAAATCGAGTATGAGGTCAGACCATGAACGAAAATAAAAACTCAGGTTCTTCCATTAGATTGAGGTTGTGATGCCGTGGTGACAACCTGCTTTAATTTGAGGTAGCTAAATTTTTAGCTTTTATTGCCAACCAAAATTTTCCTAAAATGGTCGTTATTTGGAAAAATGCTATCCTATGTGTCAATGGCATGCGGCCCCAGGCCCAAGCATGGGATAGTAATTTCCCAATATGGGTCTTTGCTGTGGTTAGTGTGGTATTGAGTTAACTACAGCTTCTGTAATGTGCTTAGCATAATTGGCCCAACATAAATAAATAATCCTATTTCATGCTCCTAAAATTATAGTTTGTTTTATACCATCTTCATGCCATTTGGTTGCATGTCCCTTGTCCCTATGTTTTACACTACTACAAATACATTTGTTAAAGTAGAATAACTAAAGTAGTTGTTCATCGTGCATCCATCTGCATAGCTCTTGT